CCGCACCAGCCGCTGCAGCAGCAGCCGCAGCAGCTGCAGCGGCAGAAGCAGCAGAAGCAGAAGCAAAGCTCGCCCGCTGGAAAGCCAACTTCTGCTTGGACCTGGCAGTTCCCGAGCCCCGAAGAAAGCGCAGCAGCAGCAGCAGCAGCAGAGGCTGCAGCAGCTGCTGCTGTTATTGAAGTTGACATTGCAGCAGCACTAGCAGCACCAGCAGCAGCAGGCACTGCAGCACCAGCAGCAGAACCGGCAACGTCGCCATTAGCAGCAGCAGCAGCAGCAGCGCCGTCACCAGCAGCAGCATCAGCAGCTGCAGCGCCGTCACCAGCAGCAGCTGCAGCGGCAACTGCAGCAGCAGCGCAGCCAGCAGCAGCAGCACCAGCAGCTCGTAGTGAGCCTTGCCCAGGTGCAGCTGCCCCCAAAGGGGGCTCCAAAAAGTACGGAGGCGATGCTGCTGCTGCACCTGCTGCTTCTGCTGCTGCTGCTGCTGATCCTGCTGCAGCAGCAGTGTCACCAGCTTCAGCAGGAGACGCAGAAGCTCACTGGCCTTCTTTGGGCAAAGCTGTGGCAATGAGAGGACCAAAAAACTCCAACAGCAGGTGAGCTGCTGCTGCTGTTGCTGCTGCTGCTGTTGCTGCTGTTGCTGCTGTTGCTGCTGCTTGTGTTCCTGCTGCTGCTTGTGTTGCTGCTGCTAGAGTTGCTGCTGTGGTTGCTGTTGCTGCTGGCATTACTGCTGCTGGCGTTGTTGGTGCGTGTTCTGTTGCTGCTGTTGTTGCCGTTGCTGCCGCTGCTCCTGGTGCTTCTGCTGCTGCTGCTGGCTGCTTTCCGAGGCTGCTGCGGCTTTGCTGCTGGAAATGTTCTTTTGCTGCAGCAACGCTACCAGCAGCAGCCGAAGAATTCATCCGCAGCAGCAGCGCAGCCCCAGCAGCAGCAGCAGCTTCTTGGTGAGGTCTCTTGTGGCCCCGCAGCAGCACCAGCAGCAGCAGCAGCAGCAGCAGCAGCAGCAAAGTTCTGCCAGCAAAACAGGTGGACGCAGGCGTTTTGTCGAAAGCTCTCCTGCAGAGCCGAGCCAAGCTGCCAGTCGCCCCAGCAGCAGCAGCAGCAGCAGCAACATCAGCAGCAGCAGCAGCAGCAGCAGCAGCAGCAACCGTGGCCGTGGCAGCCCACAGGAAAAGGAAACTGCAGGCAGTCGGCAGCAGCAGCGAGCCCCGTGGTCCTCGCAGCAGCAGCAGCACATGGGAGAACACGGTAAGAAGCAGCAGCAGCAAAGAGGCAGCAGCGGCAAAGCAGCAGCAGCAGCAAAGAAGCAGCAGCAGCAAAGAAACAGCAGCTTTTGTGCTTCATAGACTGCATTTGTTTTTGCGCATGCAAATTATTCATCTAATAATTAATTATTCATTTAATTAATATTTAATTTGTTTTTAATTATTTTTAAATTGTTATTTAACTATTATTTAATTATTTAATTATATATTTATTTAATTGTTTTTCGATTTAAAACAACTACATCCACCTTGCATGCAGCAGCAGCAAATGTGAACCAGCTGTGCATACACCTGAAGGACCGAAGAGGTGTCTGGGACTTTTTTGTTTTTTATTTTATTTTATTTAAATGCAATTTTATTTTATTTTACTCTATTTTACTTCAATTTTATTTATATTTTGAAATTAATGCAAGTCCTCGAAATAAGGTAAAAACGTTTAAATGCAATTTTTTGGCTTTTTGCTGCTGCTGCTGCTTCTGCTGCTGCTGCTGCACTGCAGCAGCAGAAGCAGATGCGGCGGGAAAATAAAAATAAATTTAAAAGTGGATTTAGTTGGATTTAGCTTTTAAAATGGAAATAAATGAAAGAGTAAAGGTAATGCATGAATTATTTAAAATTTTTTTGATTTTTATTTCAATTGGTTTAGACACCCTACCTTTATTTTCCGCCAATTCCTGCTGCTGCTGCTGCTGCTGCTGTTGTCGCCGCTGCTGCAGCAGACGGTAATCACTGGCGCCGCAGCGCTTCCCGCGAAGGCCCTGCAGCTGCTGCTGCTGCTGCTGCTGCTGCTGCTGCTGCAGCAGGACGGCCTCTGCCTT